TGAGTATTTGTTTTATCGGCTCTGTTCCTCTAGAGAAACCTTTACTAATACACCTTTTGGTACCAGAAGTAGTTTTAGAACAGCACAAGGAAAAAGCTGAAAATTTTAAATATATGAAATAGGCTTTCCAAACTTCCTGACACCTACAGTCACTGAAGCCTCCCCAGTCCCTGAAGCCTCTCCTAGAAGCTTGAAGAGTACCAAAAGCCCACAGTGTGAACTATTTTATAAACTTATTGAGATATATGAATTTAATTATCCTGATCCCCCAAATGTGAGAGGCAAGGAATTTGGTGACTCAGTACAGAAAGCCTTTGTAAATGTTTTAATAAATAGGAAAATAATTTTGCTGGTCAATTGCTCATAATATCTCTGGATAAATTTACAAAGGAAAAAGAGTGAGCTTCGTGATAAAGTTGTCTAGCATCTCAGAATATGGGAAAGGACAACGATGAACTCAGCCATAAAACTGATTGGCTCTAGATACAATCTATAAACAGTCTAGAGGTTTCTAAGTGTGACCTGGAAGAGACTCTTCTCCCCAGCAGTCACAGGGCTCAAGTTGCAGAAAATCATTCTGAAGCCACCGCTGACATCAACACTGTCACCACCACCACCATCATCATTACAACTACTGTTAAGTTGGCTGAATTAGTTCAAGTCCCAGGTTCAGAGGGTGTTGAGAGCTAAAGTTAGAGTATTAACTTGGCAAAGAATGGAATCCTGTAACTTGAGATGGAGACGTGAGAGAACCGCACTGAGGTTGAGAACTTTGAACTCTTACATTCTCCAGGCTTTATCTCACCTGAGAAAGGAGCCTCTCCACCCCCAGCAGAACCAATACTCCTACCCTCACTCCCTGATATATTGTCTTTTCCCTGTTTGACTGAGGAAATGAATCATTCAGTATCTGGGAGGCCAGCAGTACCTTTCTCTGAAGGAGGCCGGCAAGATAATACTGATGTTCCTCAGGGCCTATCAATAGTTTCCTCCAGTCTAGTGGTTTTCAACTTGTGGGTCACAAGCCCCTTGGGGGTTGCATATCAGATATTTACATTACAATTTATAAGAAACAAAATTACAGTTATGAAGTAGCAACAAAGTAATTTCATGGTTGGGAGTCACCACATGAGGAACTGTATCAAAGTGTGACAGCATTAGGAAGGTTGAAAGAAACATTGTTGTAGACCTACAACCAGACTTCAGACTAAGCAGGCTCCTAAAGGGGAGATAGGAAGTGTAGTCCATGAGAGGATGCATTATACCACTAAAGGGTAATGCATTATTCAGTAAATATTAAAAGTAAACGTTTTCAAGCAGAAGTCATGGACTTATGTATAGAAGTGGGTTTTGAGGGTAATGGGATAAGAGGGTAATGATGAAAGGAACATAAAACTGGATCTAGCTGAGTTTATTGATATGAGCCCACTGAGAGTCTAGGTTTAATATGAAAGCTCTCAGAGTTAAAGAGGTGTCAACCATTTGTTTGAATGGTTGACTGAAGTATTTATATAAAGATGGACCACCGAAGGGGAGTTAGAGATGCCTGATATCTCTTGGCTTAGTACTAATGAAGGTTTGGAAGAAATCACAGTGCTAGAGTGGGTACACCGTGTAAAATCTAATCCTCCAAAATGGGAAGGCCCAGATGACATGCCTTCACTAGTCCTGCAAGCTTTAAATTGTTGAGAGGAGCACCAGCACACTTGAAGAGCTTTATTATAGCCCTCTTCTTGTGCCAGAACTTAGGGCTGGAGACACTGCTGCTCAGTTAGGTGAGTTCAAGGCAATGGGTCTAACTAAGCCCTGAGGTAGCAGGTGCCAGCTGGCAGCATTGAATCACCAGAGGCGAGGTGATTATAGCTATCATAATAGGCTGCATAGACAAATTAATGTATCAATACTGTATAACATTACATATGTATTTCTATTTTGTATATACTTGTTTAAACCTTAGTTTCCCTTAAAGAGAAGCATGACTACTCTTTTGGAATTAAATGAGCAGGACACTCCATAATTCCACAATCCAAAGTCTTGAGAACTAATACAAGAAAATACAAGAAAGTGGTCTGGGCTTGTTTCCGTATGATACAGATTTCACATTGATGAGAGAAAAACTTCTGATTTAACAGCTGTAGACAGGGACCAAGAATGAGCTTGTCATAAACTCCTATGTGACACTCACTTTCTAAACAGACAGAATGAGAACTGGATCTGTCAAAGACATTCCTTCTTAAGCATAGTAAGAAGCTTAACCATAGTAAATGCATTCAAAAGGTTTCTTTCTGGTACATACTCTTTCATGATAATGAAACCTACAGAATTGTACAAAGGCATCATCGTATTAAATACCCTCATATGGTTTCTGTCTTAGCGTTTCCATTTCTAGGAACAGACATCATGACCAAGGCAACTCATAAAAGCAAATCTTTAATTGAGGCTGGCTTACAGTTTCAGAGGTTTAATCCATTTTCATCATAGCAGGAAGCATGGCAACATGCAGGCAGACATGATGCTGGAAAAGGAGCTGATAGTTCCACATTTTGATCCAAAGGTAGCCAGGAAGAGACTGTCATCCAGGGAGCTACTAGGAGGGTGTGTTTCGCACTGAGTGAAGCTTCAAAGCCCACCCCCAGAGTGATTCACTTCCTCCAACAAGGTCATACTTCTGAATAGAGCCACTCCGTGAGACAAGCATATTCAAACTCCCACATTTCACTTGCTGGCCTCCATAAGCTTGTTGAAGTACAGGAATGTATGGGGACCATACTTAGAAAAAACATAATGAAAAATACATGAGGTCCAACTTCAAAAGTCCCCATCATCTATAGCAGTCTTAAAAATGTTAAAAGTCCAAAGTTCAAAGTCTCTTCTGAGATTCATCCAATCATGTAACTGTAATCCCCTAAAAAAGAAAATAAAAAAAACAGATCACATATTTCCAACTTCACAAGATACACTTCACTATTCCTAAATGTAACCATGAGGAAATTCTGGACCATAAAAAGATCAAAAGCCAGCTGGGAAATCTCCAAACTCTGCATCCCCATGTATGTTGTCAAATCATTCTTCAGATCTCCAATTCCTTTCTGCTTTGTTCACTGCAGCATGATTCTTTCTGTTTGGCTGGTTTCATACTCTGAAAGCAGTTTTCCTGAGCAGATAGCCCACAGCTCTGGCATCTCAAAGATCTTGGGGTCTCCAAGGTAACTTCAGTGTTACAGTTTCTTGTTCCAGTGTCTGGGATCCACACATGATCTTCTGTGCTCCTCCAAAGAGATTGGGTCACTTCTTCAGCTCTGCCCTCTGTATCACTCTAGCTCTGGTTGACTCCAATCTACTGCTGCTGTTCTTGCTGCTCATTCCATGGGACTGGCATCTTCAATATGCTGGGTTCTTCAGCTGTAACTGTGCTACAGTGATAGCCTCCCTTATGCTCCCTTCATGGTGCCAAGATTCAGCTGCTCTGCATGACACCATGTCCTGGAAACCAGTACCACCTGGGTAATTCTTACACATGACCAACTTCAGCTGCAGCACAAGGTACAATGTTGGCTGTCTCTGGAACACAGCTTCTTTGTCCTCTCAGAAAACACTTCCTAGAAGATTTCACTTCAATGATGCTGGTCTCTTCTTCATCACTTCTAATCACAACTAACCAGCATCAATTTTCCCAGTAGTCCCAGTTCCTTCTACTCTTGCCTCTAATGCCAGAGCCACATGGACAAAGCTGCTGAATTCTGCTGCTCACTGGGCCTGGGACATGACCCCTTCTATTACATTATCGCTAGGTTTCTGTTCTCCAACTTCTTTAGTGCCTAAGTTTGGCTGTCCTGGAACTTGTTCTATATATTGACCTTGAACTCAGAGATCTGCATGGCTCTGTATCCACAGTACTAGACTTAAGCTTTTCTTTACCTGAAACTTGTTCTGTATCAGGGTGGACTTGAACTGCTTGATGCTCATCTCCTAGGGTTTAAGGGCATGTACCACCATGCCTGGACCTATGCTTTCCATTTTAGATCTTAAATTGAAAACCTAGAATAGCAATCACAATCCATCCCTTGTCAATTTGATACATAATTGTATCTCCTTATATCAATATGCAAACAATAGCCAGGTAATAATAATTCTTAACATGATATTACTCTCTCCAGTTTCTCTCCAGTATGTTTCTTCTTTGTGTTCTGAGATGACTGTGACCTGAAAAACATTGTCATATTGACTTCATTCATAGGGCATCTCTGCAGTGTGTACACCTTTATGTATTCAGAGACGACTGTGACGTGCTGTGAGAGGCTTTATAGCATTGAGTATATTCTTAGGGTTTCTCTCCTGAATGTGTTCTGTTACATAGCTGCAGATGACTGAGACTTGCAAGGGCTTTAATTTAGCACATTGATTACACTCATAAGATTTCTCTGTCATGTGTGTTTTTTTTTATATCTTTGTAGATGACTGTAACCTGCAAAGGGTTTACCACACTGATAACATTCATAAGGCTTCTCTCCTCTATGTGTCCTTTTCTGTTGTTGTAGATTACTGTGACTTGCAAATGCTTTACCACTTTGATTACACACAAAAGGTTTCTCTCCAGTATGTGTTCTTTTATGATATTGGAGCCTACTCTGTTGTGAAAATGCTTTACCACATTGATTACATTGATAAGGTTTCTCTCCAATATGCGTTCTTTTGTTTTTGGAGACTATACTGAAATGCAAAGGATTTATCACATTGATTACATTCATATGGTTTCTATCCAGTATGTGTTCTTTTATGATATTGGAGATGATTCCCATATGAAAAGGCTTTACCGCATTAATTACATTCATAAGGTTTCTCTCCAGTATGTAATGTTTTATGTTTTTGGAGACTATACTGAAATGCAAAGGCTTTACAACATTTATTACATTCATAATATTTCTCTGCATTATGTGTTTTTTCATGTCTTTGGAGATGACTGTGACATGTGAAGACTTTACCATGTCAATTACAGTCTTAAGGTTTCTCTCCAGTATGTGTTCTTTTATGTTTTTGGAGACAACTGTGACATGCAAAGGCTTTACAACATTGATTACATTCATAAGGTTTCTCTCCAATATAACATCTTTCATGCCTTCATGTCTTCTAGAACTTTGACAATGTTTTTCAATGTGATGGTCTTCCCAATTGTAGCCTGTAGCAGTGAGGTTCTGGTAGGTCTCCAGCATCACATCTTCATAGAGACTTTTCTGGGAAGGATTCAGCAAATCCCACTCTTTCCCAGTGAAGTTCACATGGACATCATCATAAGTCACTGCATCCTGCAATCCAATGACTCTGAAGCCTCAGGTAGTACTGATGTCATGAACACATGCCATCCTAAGAAATAGAATGTAGTCTGTATATTCTTGGCCAAACTTCAAAATTCAAGATGTGGATGAAGATCATTCAGAGCTTCCCTGGGGTCCTCTCACAGCACCCAACAGCACAGCTCAGAGCAGGACACAGAGAACCATTCAAGCCTGCACAGTTACAGCAAACTTGCAGAGTGAAAGATAAATTTTTGACATGGCCCCTCCCACCACCAAGAAAGAAGCACAACATTTAGTGTGTCTATTTGTATTCTGAAGGTAGCATGTTCCTCACTTGAGTGTGTTACCCTGGCAATATGCTAAATGACTTGGAGAGCTGCTAACTTTGTGTGCAACCTAGAATAGGAAAAGGCTCTTTAATAGGTCTAGGCTGCTGTGCAGGCTGTTGTACCATTTGGACTACATTATTTAGGAAACTTGATGGTACTTGAGGTGTCAGTGGCAGATAGGGATGCTGTTTAGAATCGCTGACAGGTCCCTATAGAGGAATCATAGATCTTTGGGATTTTGAAGCAAGGCTCTCATCATCTGCAGACAAATATGCTCACTTTGAGAGACAGCTCTTGGCCTGCTATTGGGCCTTAGTGGAAGCATTTGACAATAGGAGCTACCAAGTTACCATGGAACCTGAGCTGCTCATCATGAATTGTGTTTTATATGATCCACCAAATCATAAAGTAGAATGTGCACAGGAGCAAACCATAAACGGAAGTGGTATACACATGATCATACTCAATCAAGTTCTGAAGACACACAGAAATTACACGAAGAAGTTCCCCAAATGCCTGTAGATTCTATTCTCATTACAATGCCATTTGCTTCCAGGAATGCACCTGTAACCTCATGGAGTATATCAGTTGACTGAGAAAGAGAACACTAGGGCCTGGATTACTCGGGGTCTGCATGTTATGCAGGTGCCACCCAGAAAGAGAAACATTGCAAACCCTTTATGGAACAACCCTAAATGACACCAGTGAAGGGAAATCTTCACAGTGGGCAGAACTCCCAGCAGTACACATGGTAATACATTTTGCTTGGAAGGAGAATTTGCCAGATGTGTGATACTTCCCATATTCATCGTCAATATCCAGTGTATTGGCTGGATGGTCAAGGACTTGGAAAGAACATGTTTGGAAATTGTTGAGAAAGGCATCTGGGGAAGAAGTATGTGGATAGATTTCTCCAAATGAGCAGAGGATGTGAAGATAATTGTGTCCTATGTAAATGCTCATTGAAAGATGATTCCAGCAGAGAAGGAGTTCAATAATCACGTGGATAAGATGACCTGTTCTGTGGACAGTCAGCCTCTCTCCTCAGCCATCCCTGTCACTGCTCAATGGCATTTGCTCATGAACAAAGTGGCCGTGGTGGCTGAGATGGAGATCATGCTTGGGCTCAACAATATGGACTTCCACTCACCAAGGCTGACCTGGCTACAGCTGCTGCTGAATGCCAGATCTGCCAACAGCAGAGACCAACACTAAGCCCCAGATATGGCATCCATTCCTCGAGGTGACCAGCCAGCAACCTGGTGGCAAGTTGACTACATTGGACCACTTCCTCTGTGGAAAGAACAACATTTTGTTCTTATTGGAGTAGATACTTATTCTGGCTATGGATTTGCCTTTCCTGCATGTAATGCTTCTACCAAAACCACCATCCATGGACTTACAGAATGCCTTATCCACCATCATAGTATTCCACATAGTATTGCTTCTGACCAAGGAACTCATTTTACAGCCAGAGAAGTGAGATAGTGGGCCCATGATCATAGAATCTACTGGTCTTACCATGTTACCCATCATCCTGGAGCAGCTGATCTGATAGAAAGATGGACTTGCTGGCCTTTTGAAGACACAGTTACAGCACCAAGTAGGTGGCAGCAGCATGTTCAATATATGGTACAGTTTTTCCCATAGCCAGGATCCATGGGTCCAGGAATCGAGGGTTGAAAACGGGAATAGTTCCTCTCACTATCATTTCTAGTGACCCTTTAGCAAAATTTTTGCTTCCTGTCCCCAAAACTCTAGGTTCTGCTTGCCTAGAAGTTCTGGTTCCAGAGTGAGAAGTACTCCTACCAGGAGCCACAACAACAATCCATTGAACTGGAAGCTCAGACATCCCCCTGATCATTTTGGGCTTCTAATGTCCTCAAACCAACAGGCTAAGAAAGGAATAACAGTGTTAGGAGGGGTGACAGATCCAGATTACCATGGGGAAATTGGATTGCCTCTCCACAATGGAGGTAAGAAGGATTATGTCTGGTATGGAGGAGATCCCTTTAGGCGTCTCTTTGTACTACTATGTTCTGTGATTAAAGTCAATGGGAAACTACAACAGCCCAATCCAAGCAGGATGACAAAGGACACAGACTCATCAGGAATGAAGGTATGGGTCACTCCTCAAGGAAAAGAACCAAGACCTGCTGAGGTGCTTGCTGAGGGTGGAGGAAATGCAGAATGGGTAGTAGAGGAATGTAGTTATAAATACCAGATAAGGCCACGTAATCAGTTGCAGAAATGAGGATTATAAAGTAATATGAATGCTTCTGTCTTATTTTGTTAAGAACATATTTGTCTTTCTTCCAATTTCTTTAACATCAATTGGTATTTAGGTTGAGATACTAAAAGAATGTTCCCAAGGGACATTGCCCCATTTTAAGTTTACCAATGAGTTTGCAATTGTATGATGAATAATTATATCATGTTAGGCATATTCATGACCTTGTTATTGTTTCATGTGGACATGCGTATTTGTGTCAAGTTGACAAGAGGTGGATTGTACTGTCTATTCTTGGTGTCAACTTGACTATATCTGGAATCAACTACAATCCAGAATTGGAAGGCTCACCTGTGATCCTGATCTTGAGGCTGGGAGATACAAGTCTCTGACCTGGATCTTGACATGGAGATCTTGAGGCATAGTAATTGTTGTGGAGAGCCGCATAGTGCCACACCCTTAAGATGGTGCCGGTCTCCGCCTTCTGCCACCTGTTGGCGAGTGCTCTTAGGAGTAAACAAGTCCTTGCCACCTGTTGGTGAGGACTCTTAGGAGTAAACAAGTCCTTATTTGGCTGTGGCTGGTGATCTGACTTGTCTCCATGCGTGTGGACCTATCTGCTGTTGCCACATGGCAGACGGGGGTTGGCTATTCCTAGAGTACTGGGAGATGCTTCCCCCGGGGTCATCAGTCAGAAGATTGTTCAAGGGTCCTGAATAAACTGCTTGGAGAAGAGCTCGTGCGTTGCATCTTCCTTGCTGGTCGAGGGTGGACTCGACAACTGGCGGCCCATACATGCGACAATTGGGGAAAGCGAAGCTCAGAACTTCAAGCAGTCAGGGTGGTGCACCGGTAAGTTCCCAGGTTACATTGGGACAAGGGAAGGCCCTTGGTAAAAGAGGTAATAAAGTTTCCGGGTAGGAACAATAAAGTTCCCAGGTCAGTGGGACAAGATAAAGTTCCCAGGTCAGTGGGATAAGGGAAAGCTCCCGAGGTGAGTTGGGACAATAAAGTTCGCAGAGCGCAGCCATTTTGCTCTTCTCTGCAGACAAAGAGAGAGCGGAAAAATTTACATTGTTGCAAACCGAAAGTGAAAGGCACAGTGTGTCAAAAGTATGGGCGCTTCTCAGTCGCACCCAATTTTTTTGGCTCTTCAGGAGCTGCTGTTATCTAAAAATTTGAAACTTAAGAAAAGCACCCTTGAAAGGTTTTTGGATGAGTGTGATATCATTGCTCCTTGGTTCGCAGTTTCTGGTAATTTAACTATCGCTTGGGATAAATTGGGAAAAGATCTAGACTTTGCATAGGGTCAGGGAACGCTCAAGTCAGGGGTCAGACCTGTGTGGAAGCTTATCAGGAGCTGTTTAGAGGACGAAAGATGCTGCAAAGCCATTGAGGAGGTACAGACGGAAAAGATAGTTAACTATTTGGGAGTGAAAATCGGGCCTGAGAAAATAATACCTCAAAAGATCGAGTTGAGAAAGGACAATTTAAAGACTCTAAATGATTTTCAAAAGTTGTTAGGGGTTATTAATTGGGTACGCAATTATTTGAAGCTGTCAAATTATGAATTGAAACCGTTGTATAATATTTTAAATGGTGACTCGGCTCTTGATTCTCCTAGACAATTAACAGGAGAGGCAATAAAGGCCTTATGCAAGGTAGAGGAAAGGTTACAAAGTGCCTTTCTGCAGAGATGGCAAGAGGGTCAACCCATTGTTTTGTGCATATTTGCCACCTATGGCCAGCCTATAGAGTTGTTATAGCAAGAAGGTCCATTATTATGGATCTATTCAAAGGTTTCTCCAAATAAGTCCATAGAACATTACCCCATTGCAGTTGCTGCTCTAGCCTTGAATGGTGTTCAGCAATGCCTGCAGTTTTTTGGAGCTGCTCCCGCTTGTATAATAGTGCCTTTTTCTAGTTCTTAAGTTAAGATCTTGTGTGGAACTATAGATGACTGGGCTATATTGCAGTGCAGTTTCAGTTGTATGATTGATAATCATTATCCCAAACATCCTTTGCTGTCATTTTTTAAAGAGCATCCTGTGAATTTTTCAAAGATCACCTCTGCACATCCCCTTAGGGGGGCACCAAATATATCTACTGATGGCTCCAAAACAGGTTGCGGGGCCTATATGATAGAGGACCAGGAACCTGTACTATGTCATTTTCAACCTGGTTCACCTCAAATTGTGGAATTAAAGATTGTTGTAGAGGTGTTTAGAAATTGTCACTTTGCATTTAATTTGATTCCTGATTCAGCCTATGTTGTTAACGCAGTAAGAATTTTAGAAGTAGCGGGCCCTCTTAAGCGTAGCAGCACGGTGTGTGTCTTATTACAAGAATTGCAAGATTCAATTTGGCAGAGAAAGAGATGCTTTTATATTCAACATATTAGAGCACACACAGGCCTGCCTGGACCATTGAGCGAAAACAATGATAAAGTCGACTGATGGACAAGGATGGAATGTATTTTCTTAAGCTCAGCATTGGAGCAGGCAAGACAGTTCCATCGGTCATTTCATGTGAATGCAAAAACCTTACAACAAAAATTTCACTTATCTAGAGCAGATGCCAGACAGGTGGTTCTGGATTGTCCCAACGTGTGGTCCATCTTCATCCTCCCAGTGTAGGAGTGAACCTAGGGGGCTATTGCCACTCAAGATCTGGCAAATGGATGCCACTCATATATCGGAGTTCAGGACCCTAAAATATGTCCATGTGTCTGTTGACACCTGTTTGGGCATCATACATGCCACCCCTTTAAGTGGGGAAAAGGCTCGCAATGTCATAGGACATTGTCTGGAAGCTTGGGCGGCATGGGGGAAGCCTCAGCAATTGAAAACAGATAATGGGCCAGCCTACATGGCCAATGCATTCACCTCCTTTTGCAAACAAATGGAGATACACCTAAACCATGACTTACCATATAACCCTCAAGGCCTGGATATTGTGGAACGTGCTCATCGCACCTTAAAAGAATGCCTACAAAAACAAAAAGGGGGAGTAGGCCAAGGCCCTACCCCCAAGGAGAGAATATTGTTAGCCTTATTTACCCTAAATTTTTAAAATTTGGATGTCCACGGCCGCTCAGATGTGGACAGACATCAGAATTCTCATGGCCCCTCTAGAAGCATGGTAAAATGGAAAGATATCTTGACAGGCTCCTGGCTAGGGCCTGATCCCGTGCTGACATGGGCACGAGGTTCTGTTTGTGTTTTTCCTCAGGACCAGCAAGATCCAGTGTGGGTGCCTGAGCACCTGGTGTGGAAGGTTCGCCATGAAGACCCTCTTGAGGCTCAAGATGATGATGGTGACAGTGACACCAGGGTTAGAGACTGAGGGAGCCAAAGGCATCTAGAGAACCCCTGCTTCGTGACATCTTCCTCTTGACCAAGTGGGCGGGTTTGGGTTCCTTGGTTATACTCATGGTGCTAGCCTCCTCTATCTGCCTGTGGTTTATTTGAAAGGTTAGGGTTACACAAAAATGGAATGCAGCCGTGATTATCCAAGCCTTTACTGCCTTTGAGGCTGGTCAGTCCCCCCAGGCATGGCTCGCAGCCATTAAGCCCTGATTTCTCCTCACGTTCAGGTTGCAAGGCTAGGCACTGCACTTGAGGTATGCTGTCAGCTGCTCACAGCCTCAAGGGGAGCAAGTCTGATTGATGCAGGTTAGTGCAGTCCTTTCCCCCAACCAGTCCCACCATTGTTCCCGCCTCAGCAAAAATCAGCACTGGACGGGTCTGACACTGCCTGGGCAGGGATGCTCAGGGAGGGTTAGTACAATGTCCATTGTTTTTTCTGAGATCAGACCTCTACTCTCACCTGTTTCGTATAAAAACAAAAAAGGGGAACTGTGGAGAGCCGCATAGTGCCACACCCTTAAGATGGCGCTGGTCTCCGCCTTCTGCCACCTATTGGCGAGTGCTCTTAGGAGTAAACAAGTCCTTGCCACCTGTTGGTGAGGACTCTTAGGAGCAAACAAGTCCTTATTTGGCTGTGGCTGGTGATCTGGGTTGTCTCCGTGTGTGTGGACCTATCTGCTGTTGCCACGTGGCAGATGGGGGTTGGCTATTCCTAGAGTACTTAAGCCTGGGAGATGTCAGTCAGAAGATTGTTCAAGGGTCCTGAATAAACTGCTTGGAGAAGAGCTCGCGCGCGTTGCGTCTTCCTTGCTGGTCGAGGGTGGATGCGACAAATTGTGAATCCCAGGAGACTAAGGCAAGAAGATCTCTGAGTTCAATGTCATCTGGGACAAAGCAAATCCCAGATCCAGGTGTGGTGGCACACACCTTTAATC